ATTTACTGAGAAAAATGTTGATGTGTTCAATACTTTTTTCCCTGTGCCATTCCACATTATTACAAATAACTTCATTTCTGGACATTTATGGGATCACTTGGGTTGTTATCAACATCTGGTGAAAATTTCATGTCATTAGCACCTCTAGTAATATATTTACTGAGAAAAATGTTGATGTGTTCAATACTTATTTTACCCGCTGTACATGAAAACAGAGCTGCCATCCTCCTGATAACATGTGGTTACATTAATACGGTATTTACTTGTATCCAAACAGCAGCTGAGCCATAAATATAATTTAATGTCTTCACAAACATTCATCTTCTTCTACCATCAACACAGACAGCTTTTGCTCCAGGCTTTGGTTAGGACTCTTGTTTATAAAATAATAAAAAGGTCATGGCAGCCTGTGGTGATGACACTCACATGCAGCCGTGCAGACAACAGGGACAACAAACCAGCTGGGAATTCTTTTATTCGCCAGATTTTTCTGGAATTTTCTCTAGTTTCTCCAGTTACTTCTCTAATTTTCATTTTATAGTTTCTGCTGTGCATTGGGCTTCAGATTTTTAAAAACTGGTTAAAGTTTTCCTGTTAGGATTTCTGTCGCTGACAACGAATATTTGCTTTTATTTTAAAATGACAGAGAAAATGCGTTTGCTAATGAACAACAGCTTGTGCACAGCTTTCAGTCTGCGGCAAAAAAAATACCCTTCATACGCCACGGCTCGGTGTCCTTGCGGTGAACGTCAGTAAATCTGCTACAAACAGAAAAAGGTCTGTTCTTCTAAATCAGGCAGACACACAAAAAAAGCATGCAACCCTATGAATCAGAGAACAGCATGTAAAGGCTCTGCTTTGGCTGCCACACGCAGACAAGTAGAGCTATATTCTCTTGTGCATGTCCTTACACCGTGTATGCACAGATGCAGGGAAGAAGAAAAAAGGCACAAAGACAGAAGCTGCAGAAGCTCCCACATYGCCTCCTTCGCTTTGCTGCTGTTCTTGAGCAAACAGCCTGAGGCGCCGTGAATGAGCGTGTCAGCGGTGTGGGCTGACGATGTTCTGTCACACAAACAAGACTGGATGAAGACAGATATCTCCTCAGCATCCAAACACAGCCTCACGTCTCATTACGTCTCCTTTACGAGGCACAGGGAGGACTCTGAAATCCACGCAAGCCTCAAAGAATTCATCTCTCTCTCTCAACTTTGGAATTTGGGTGAAGATGTTTAAAAAAAAATCCTCCCAAGGTTTGTAAAAGTAGGTCATGTCTGGAAGAGTTGATCCCAATTGCAAAGATGAAAACATTAAAGTAGTGTTTCATTTACAGGTAGGATATCTGGGGTTGGGTGGCGGTAACATCAGAGGATGAGTAGGCGCGCACACACACACACACACTAATTAAGGAGCAGAGTGTGAAGAGCGAGCTCTGATTAGCTCGAGTACAGGAAACGTGGCGCGTCCCCCCGTCACACCCAGAACCACCAGCCATGATGATCAGTGACAGAACCCGTCCTGCTAAAACAGCATCAACATGTGATGAGACAAACCCAAGTGGATGCTACCCTGTTTGAAGTTTCACTGCTTTAACAATACATTTTCTAAGGTTAGTCCCTGCTTTACATACAAAGTGTTCCACTTTGCATAATCATTTATACATATTTATAGCTGTGGTTGCGTTTCTGTAATCCTCTGCCCCTATTTCCAGATGGAGCAGATGGACTGAAAGAGAAGGGGAAACTCCTGCAGAGCCGGGCAAATAATTATTCTATTTCTAGATGTCTGCGCCTTAAAATGGAGCAAAACGTGAAAGTGCTAACAAATAACTGTTTGAGGTTAATTAAGAATTTTAAAAAATGCATTTGCACAACAGAGCCTAAGGAAATAATGTCAGGAACATGTTTTTTTTATTGAATCAACCAAGAAGTATGAAATATTTTCACGGTCAAAAAGTAGGTTACAGGCATTGAACTGAGAGTAATGTTGAAAACAGACATGTTTTATTTCCACTTCATGTTACCATCTGTAGCTCGTTTAGTGCTCCACTTTTTTTATTTATTTTTTTATTTTACACAGTCTGTCCACTGCAGCGCTGACAGGTTTAAAGTGCAAAGACAGGATGTTGGTTTTAAATGAAATGAGAATAAACCAGAATAACTCACAGAAAGAAAAACATAATAAAGTATCTATGAAAGGATGATAAGTGGATGGATTTTATCGATGAAATGTGGCAGAAGTGGAGTGGGGGTGGGGTTGATTGTAAGTTTGAGCAGATGGGTGCGACTGATTTGTAAGAGGAGCAGCAGATGTCCCGAGACATGGATGTCAAACCGCTGAACAAGTCCAAGAACTTAAGCTTGTCCCTTCTTAATCAGAACACAAAAAGAACAGATTCTGAGTGTAATATGTAATAAAAACCAAACATGTCTTGATTTACAGATACTGACCTAAGTTTTATGTAGCACATAAGTATAAGCATTTTTTGTTCTGGCTAAGATTACCTGGGGTGCCACCTTTGAATCAGGCTGACTTCGAAAGCTAATCCACTRAAGATCAAGGCTCAATATTCCCTTGAGTTTTTTAAGCAAAGATGTGTTAGCATTCATATAAGCCAAGCATGAAGGGACGCATTCTTAAACATTTAGCTACTGTGGAAACCATCGCCCTCGTGTGGACTGAAAGCAGGTTGGAAAAATGCCTAATGCATCTTTAGACTAAGCAAGAACAATTACTAACGTTGAAGCACAAATAATCTGTTTTTACACMTTTAAAGGCACTAAACTGACATAAGGCACAGAAATATAATGTGCATCACTGAGATTTTGTTAATGCCAAAAAATAAAATCTTGTAAAAAAAATGCTTAGTGTTTAACCCCAATTCCAGCGATGTTAGAACATGACATTGTAAACACATAAAATGCTTAAACTAAGACAATTTCCCTTTTTTAAATAAGTTAATTCTGAATTACAGACAAATAACTGTCTGTAAACAGTTTGCTGTGCCATCCACAAATTCAGGTTAAAGCTCTATCACGTAAAGAAGTCATAAATGAACACCAACCAGAAGCACCAGCGTCTCCTCCGAGCAAAACTCACCTGAAATACTCAAGAAAAATTAAACACTGCTCAGATGTGGTCAGATGAACCAAAATCTGAAATTATGTTTGAAAACTATGCATTTGCAGTCATGTTTTTAGTCTGTGGGAGGAAACCCGARTACCTGAAGAAAACCCACACATGCACAGAGAGAATACGCAAACTCTACCCAGAAAGGTCCCCGGCCGGGATTCAATCCGGCAACCTTTTTGCTGGGAGGAATCATCAGCTCTACCAGCTGAGCCACTGTGCCGCCCAAAGAGAGGAACCATCTCAGTGCACAGATCAAGAGCCTGCCTCTCTGATGGTATGGGGGTGCATAATGGCATGGGCAGCTAATACACCTGAAAAGCCACCATCAATTCAGAAAACATAAGACAGGTTTTAGACCAGAACATATCTTTTTAGAGAAGGACTTTCATTTTTGAGCAACAGTGTTAAATCAAAGCCTGCATCCATTTCAACAGCGTGACTTTGTGGTCTCCCTGCAGTTCAGACTGCTCACCTACTGAAAACATTTGAAGCATGATGAAACAAAGAAAACTCAGCAAAGATAATCCAGGATTGTTAAACCGTTAGAATCCTATGTCAGACAAGAACAGAACCTTCTCCAGCATCTCATCTGCCCCTAAACCTTTACAGACTTCTGTTACAAGAAGATGAGACGCAACGTTTCATTAAACCTAAACTTTAAATTCAAACTTCCTTTATTTGTCCAAATAAAAAATACAATTTCTCAGATTAAACATTTGATATGTTTACTTTGCTCCTCTGTGAATAAAATATAAGTTAGTCAGGTTTGCAAATCATTGCATTTTGTTTTTATTTACATTTTACTTTTTCAGAACTGGGGTTGCACTTTCAAACTTATTAGCAGTTTGTTTTGAAATGAAGTAAAAGTATTCCTTCAAAATGTGCTTTAAGTGTGTTTGTAACAGCAAGTAACATTATTGCAACTTCTAACTAACAGAGCTCTTATTATGTCGGGAAAGAAATTAAATGTGTTTTAGATTTTTTAGAACTAAGAAACTATTAGTAACAGAATGTTTAGGCTCATCATCATCATCACTGATATGTTTCTTGAGATGAAGACGCATTTATCTGAATAAAATTTTCATGACACTATTTTAAACATTTCTCTTTCAAATATTTACCCTATTATGTACAGTTTGTTGTTCACTGGGCCACAAAAATCCTTATTCACTACAAGGAGATGCTCAGAACCAAAGTACTACCTCTTTCTTTAAASTAAAAACTAAAAATAGGAAACTTTTACATAATTTAGAAAACCTTTGGGAAAGTTGATTCAGCTCTCAGAAGYATCAGTGACTGTCATCCCAGTGGGAGGGCAGCGAAAAGTGCAGACTTATATAAGGAATCGTTGTTACRTGAAGCAATGTCTTTGCCCATCAGTCATCTTCTGTCACACCTTTGAGGTAAAGCTCCTCTTGAACCCTGAGCAAGTATTCTGGGTCTGGATACCCAAAGCTGTGAAGGAAAAAAAAAAACATGAGGAAGTTGATGAAACAAAAACAATATTATCACGAGCGTCATCATGTATTTGCTTTAAATTTCCTTTCAGTAGCCAAAGGGATACAGTGTCACTATAACATACATCTACTGCTCCATACGTCACTTTGGTCTCGTCAAAAACAACATACTGCATGAGACGGTACATAAACGTCCTCATTTCTCATCCTAAGACGATCTTAGATTAAAACTCTGCATGAAAGGCAGCAAGTGGAATACTACGCCTTAGAAAAACTAACTTGTTGGTCAGTCCCGGTTTATCTTTGAATACACTGCAAATAAGCAAATCCTGTTAAAACAATTTWAAAAAGTTATTATGCTGTTAAAATAAAAAGTGCATACCACTCTGGACCGCCTGTAGTGCTGGTCTTGTGGTGAATGTCATTCCAGGTGATGACGTTGTTGAGGCCCGTGGTTGCAGATCGTCCTACAGTGAATATGAGTCTTCGGTCAAACGCTTTCCTCAGCAGCTTCAGGACTTTTTCTCCCTCAGCGCAGGCTGGCAGGAAGGCGGTACGAGAGGTGCTGCTGTACCTCACTCCGGGGTTTGGGTGCTCGGGCTGTAACAAGAGGAACACAACACTTTTAAATGATAACCAAAAACTGTGTTCAGTTTGGAATAACTCCATATATCACTTACAACCTTTAAAGCCACACRGTTTTTAAATTAAAATTATATTTTAAGAAGAAAGGATGGAGTAAAAGCCATTTTAGTCCAAACTTGTTCAGTTTCATGAGATCTGTTAGTACTTTAAGTACGTGTTAAGGATGACTCTCAGCTACTACCATGCCCAATTTTACCATAGTATCTGTAAAACTGACAGAGTTGTAGCCATTAATGCGTTGGATAAGGTTAGCTGTGGTGGCCATCTTGAGGTGGGGTAGTTCCAAAAGTTCACCAGYTGTAGCTTTATAACCACATTCTGAAATGTTTTAATAAAATCCATCCAGTGGTTCATGAGTTATTTTGCTAACAGACAAACAGGAGTGAACCCCTGAGTTATGGCACATTTGTGTTAGCTCCGGTGGCCATTTTAAATCAGGGTCAATCTAATTTGTACAAGCAATGATTACCTCCTGAGAATTTAATTAAAATCAGTCTAGTCACGGTTCATCAGGTATTTTGCTAACACGGTTGACGAATACATGCACACATTACTGTCTTCATGCCAAAAGGGTGAGACCTCATTTGTGTGTTTTGATGTGATATATTGGGATTACATGCAAGGAGCTTATATAGAACTGGAGTGCTCAATATCCCTGTGACCGTGTGATCGGCTGGTGAAGCTAAYGGCTAACGCAAAACGGTCAAGAGTCTGGAAGTCCCATTACTGTACATGTTGACAACTGAGCAGAAAAAAAGGACTGACGATGTAGAAATCATTAAAACTATTAATAATAATAC